ATACTGATGGCTGCATTTCTTGATCTTCTGCAACGAGTGCTTCAAGTCCTCCTCACTGTCAGAAAGCAAGGTTGTATCATCTGCATAACACAGGTTATTGATGAGTCTCCCTCCAATCCTAATGCTATTCTCCTCTTCGTAGAGTAAAGCCTCTCAGATAACATGCTCTGCAAACAGGTTAAATAGGTATGGAGAGAAAATACAACCCAAGTGCACTCCCTTCCCAATTCCAAACCATGTAGTGTTCCCCTGCTCCATTTGTACAACAGCCTTCTAGTCCAGGTGTAGGTTCCAGATGAGCACAATCAAGTGCTCTGGGATTCCTATTCTTCTCAATGTCAGCCACAACTTATTATGATCCACGCAATCAAATGCCTTTGCATAGTCAATAAAGCACAAACAGACATTCTTGTGGTATTCCTTACTTTCATCCAAGATCCATTTGACATCAGCAATAATATCCCCAGTGCAAGGCCTCTTCTAAATCCTGCCTGAACTTCTGGCAGTTCCCTATCTTATCTATGTACTGTTCCAGCCGTTTATGAATGATCTTCAGGAGTATTTTGCTTGCATGTGATACTAATGATATTATTTGATAGTTTCCACAGTCAATGGTATCACTTTTCTTGGGAATGGGAACAAATAAAGACCTATTCCAATCCATTGGCCAGATATTTGGGTTGCTGAGATACTGATATCTGTGCACTAGTGTATCAAATGCCATAAGGGTTGCTCATAGTGGACAGCTTTCAGTTAAGCTCCCTGATTAAGATAGACTAGGAAAGAGGATAGCCCACTTACTTCCTAAATAAGAGGCCTTTGGACAACTTATGAACACTAAAGAAAGAGTATAGTAATAGTGTAGCAGTAGTAATAGTGTAGTGTAGTAATAGTGTCCCAGATTGGAAGTCAGTTGAAAATGAGGAAAAACAATAACAAACATTGTTTTAACAACTGGAATGGAAAAGTTCAAGAGACAGATATTAACAAACATATCCCACCAAGTGGACAGTGTTTGGTGGAGCTCCCTGATTAAAACAAGCTTGGAATCAAGAGTGGCATCCACTTCTGAAATGGCTTGCCTCCAGAAACTCTATGAACATAGAGAAATGATGAAAGTTATACAAATGTTCAGGTCTTTCCTTCATAGGGTTGCTATAATTCATCTATGACTCAACAGCACCTAACAACAACAGCCCCCCCCCCCAAGAACAGTGGTTTGTTGTTATGCTTTTTTTTAATGGGGAAACTCGGTATTTTTCACAAAACGTTATCCAATTGATTCTCTCAAATAATATGTACTTAATGCATTCCTTAATCAGGCACTAAATAAAAACCTAGAAGTACAAAGTCAGGCAGAATGCAGCTGCTGTCTTTCAGATGTTTTCATGATGGAGGAACTGATGATTTTTTTAAAAAAATAATTTAAAGGAAGATTTTAGCATTGAGAGAAACTTCCATGAGTCAGTCTTTAATAATGCTTGCAGGGTTACATGAAGAATGCCAGACCCTGACAAGGTTTTATCTTAACCATTTATCACTGTTGTTTTTACAGTAAGCAACCTTGAGGGATGAGGTAATGTCTCTCTTCAATAAAAGAAGAGGCTTGTTTACTGTTTGATATGTAACAGTCTATATCCAAAGCTCAATGTTCCTCACCTGTGTATAAACCATTGAGTACAGAGTATCTATCTGGGACCCTATCCTACTGTGCCTGTGGGACAGAGAGGTAGTGGGGATTGAGACAAACATGAGCTTCTGTACTTATTGTTACTAGTAAGCAGCTGCTTGTTACTCATTTCTCCAAAAGTAGTAAAAGTCTTTTGTCTCTGTCCCAGGCTTCTGTGTTGAAAGAATTACAGACATAAATCACTGGCTTGTGAATTGGATAAAACCATATCCCAAACTTGGCATTAATATTAACAGAGATGTATGAAGTACAATGGACAATTAAATAGTTAAGTTTCTTGATAATTAAGCCATAGCAAACATTTGAATAGAGTCTGAAAAATTAGTAGAAATAAACCAGACACAATAGTATAGATTGTTTAAGACAGAGACAAAATTACATGTGGAAAAAAATGAGGTGAGAAAAAGGGTGGCATATTCATGGAACCGAAAGCTGGGTCGCCTCTAGCAGTAGAAAGAGATGTGCTACCTTGTTAAGGGAGGTCAAGTGAAAATGAATAAGGGCTTGCATGCTCCACAAATGAGTTAGTAAAACTTGTCCTACAGATGGTGGGGACTACTGAAAGATTCAAGGGAAGGGAAGGTATCAGCGAGATTTTTCACTTTGCAAGTCCAATTAGAATAACAATATAAAGAATGGAATACAGGAATCACAAAGATGCGGTCCATGAAAGTATAATGCTGTTAGCACCATCAAATCAGGTTCAGTTCATAGCTGATCAAGAGGAGACTGCCCATTTCCTCACACAGAGCAGCTGGTGGATTTGACCCACGTGCCTATGGGCTGACAGTGTAGCTTCTTATCATGAAGCCACTAGAGCTCAAAGTACAACAGAAAAACTGCAAGTATGCTGCTGTTGGATGCCACTGAGTTGAGTTTAGTGCATAGCAACCCTAAGAAACAGAAATAAACCTGCCCAATCCTATACAATCTTTATAATCTCCGCTGGGTTTAAATCCATTGTTATAGTAACTTTGCCAATCCATCTCAGAGAGAGTCTTTCTCTCTCTTTTAGCTGGTCCTCTACTTTTCCAAGCATGCTGTCTTTCTCCAGGGACTGGCCTCTCCTGATAACATGCCCAGAGTATATGAGATGAAGTCACACCATACTTGCTTCCATCTTTCTCTGTGGCTCTTATTACAAGACAGATTTAATTATTCTTTTGGCAGTCTGCGTTATGCTCAAATTTGCCAACACTACAATTCAAATGCATCAATTCTTTCTTGGTCTTCCTGACTCAATGTCAAATTTTCACATACATCTGAAGCAATCAAAAATACTATGGCTTGATTCAAGAACACTTTAGTCTGGCATCTGTGCTCTTTAGCACTTTAAAGAGGTGTTTGGCAGCAGATTTGTCCAATGCAATTTGTCATTTGTTTTCTTAACTGCTAATTCCATGGGCATTGATTGTGGGTCTAAATAAAATAAAATCCTTGACAACATTAACATGATGTTGTTTATTGGCCCAGTTTTGAGGATAGTTTTCTTTACACTGAAACATAACTCATTTTGAGTTTAATCAAGTGCTTCAAGTCATCTTCACTTTCTGCAAGGTTGTGTCATCTGAAGGTTGTTGACAAGTCTTCCTCCAATCATGATAATAATGGTGGAATCATGATAATGATGGTGGGAGTAGCTCAAACATAGTTTATAAGCTTAAGATGATAGCAAAATTTGCCTATGTGAAGTCCTTCAATTTGATGTTGGTGTAGCTAGAACCAGAATCTCTGGCTCTGAAGGACATGTTCTTCTTCCTCTTCCTTCTTGGTGCTGAGATTCCCATTTCTACGGCTGAATCACAACTTAAAGGCGAGACTAGCCAATTCCCTTATAGGCAGACTAATACATCCTACTTGTATGTCCCTACCCATCCATGTGACAAAGTTAAAGTCTATCTACAGATAGGAAAGCCATGTTGAGCAAAAAAAAACCCTTGGCATCACAGTCCAGTTGGAACTAACTCATAGCTGACTGGCTGGTAGGTTTTTAGAAGTTGAAAATCACAAAGGAGCCCTTTGGTGGCCTGTTGCTGTTGTGTACTGTCAAGTCAGAACTGACCCATAACTGACACTTGGGTGGGTTTTAGGAGTCAGTTAATCCCACAGGAAGAGACCAGCTATTCTATCCTATGGAGCAGCTTGGTGGCTTTGAAGCACATGCCTTGAGGATTTCAGCACAGTATGAAATTGTGCTTCCATTACAGAGATGGGTAGTTCAAATCCACCAGCTACTCTGGGAAAGACGGGAAATCTCCTGCTATATGATTTAAAGCCTCTGAGATCTTCATGCAGGATCAGCTATGAGTCAGTTCTGACTCTGTGGCAATGGATGCATGAGAGTGAAATTGAACACGAGGGGTTTTGCCCCTGTTTCACCTATGGAGTTTCTGGAGGATCTGAATCACCTTTGGGTTAGAGGCACAACTTACTACTGATATCACCACCAGCAACTCCATTATTTTTTTTTCCAGAATGTCTTACTTCTGACAATTTTTCTAAAGGTTATATAAAATATTTAGTATGACAAGATAAATTGTTTTTCAAAGTAGCAAACAAATATAAAAGAGAAGTCAATAAAAACATTTGAAAACTTATCACTGTTCAAAAATCTCAGAACTAACCAGATATACTCCAGTGTCAAAGAAACGTAATCAGATATTCATTTCCTCTTCTATGATCTATACACAGTATGCTATTCTTTTATGTTATGACAACAGACCAGAATAAAAGGTGCACAGCAAAGTAAACTGGGGGGTGGTAGGATGGAGGAAATTTTGCAACAATGAAAGAATCTTCTTAAAGAGAAAAGTGAACTGGGTGGGGGTAGGGAAGGAGGAAAATGTACTACAATGAATGAATGGAGATCCAAGTTTTCTGTAAACTTCCATTAAAGTATTAATAATAAATTTTTAAAAAGTAAAAATTAGGAACTGGTGTTATAAAGTAGATGGGATTAGAGAAAAAGAGCAGATTAATTAATCATGTAGAAACTAACAACTACTATGGTTAGGGTTCAATCACTATTATTTATTTATGTCCTGACAACTCTAATTCTTATAACACAAGTATTCTACTCTTTTCCATTCAACAGAAGGGGTTTTAAGGTAAACAATGAGATGAAAGAGAGAAACTAATTTAAAAAAGAAAAAGACCAGACCTCATAAAGGACAGAGATAAAGATTGTATTGAATTATGCATATAGAAATTAGTGCACTGGCAAATGTTTTATATTATATTTTCACTAACTACAGCAATAATTTAACAAAGAAGAACCAGACATTACATAATAAAACAATCAACAAATTACCTTGAAAGCATCATCATTTTGAGTTTTGTTATCGTAAATCCATTCTTAATTATTGTTTCAATTATTTCTCCAGCTTTTGATACTGCATCTGGTTTAATCAGGGCTAACGTTCTATATAAGAAATAAGAATAATTTTTGGAAATAACATCATTCAGTAGTTGTTATTTATAATTTTGAACAGATAATTTTCTTAATAATTACTATTATCAAACTGCTAACTTAATCATAGAGAAAAGCATATTAAAAGTACCTCTTAAAAATTACATAAGGTTAAGTTTACTTTTTCAGTAAATTAAAACTGAGTACCAGATCTGTAAAAAAAAAAGTAAAATTATAAAGGAAATACTAATTTGAAATTAATTAAAGTTGGAAAACACAGGCTCTTGAATTTTCTTATTATTTCTTACATTTGATAAAGAAGGCTAATGTCTATAAAGTTACATTGACTAAAACACCAGTGTGACTTTTGATCTCTTAGATTTTTTATAAAAACTATGTAGTTAGTTCACCATTGATTTGTAAATAATCATGAATTTTTTCTGATTATTCATTAGCATGGGTAATGCACAAGCAATTAAACATGTTTCATCCAATAAGGTGTATTAATAGAGAACATCATCATCAAAATTATCCTTCCCCTCAAAAAGACAACTGCTGGAAGTCTTAAAATGAATATCCTTTCAGAGATGGAGGTCAGCCGGCTCACTGACCTACTGTAACTGGCCTAGTGAGGAAACTTTCCCAAGGTCACACAATGGAACAGCAGCAGCAACAGGACAAAATGCTCACAAGACTCAAGTTTGTGCTCCTTTTATATTGTTGTTGTTACCTGCTGTTGAGTCATCTGTGACCTATAGTGACCCTATGTATAGCAGCCCTGAACCCTGCCCTGTCCTGAGCCAGTCTCACTGACTCCTACACACCTACCCTCGTCGCCCCAGTTACTGTACCAATACATATCATCCAGGTCTTCTCCTTCCTAGCATAATGTCCTTCTCCAAGGATCGGTCCTTCCTGACCACATGCCCAAAGTCTGTGAGACAGAACTTCAAAATCCTAGCCGCCCTTCATGGGGGAGGTATTGTATAACAATGAAAGAATTTTTCTTTTACTTTTCAAAGAGGGAACTGTGAGGCGAGGGTAGGTTGGGCAGGGAGAAAAGTGCAACAATGAATGAATGGAAATTAAAATAATAATAATACTTAATAATAATAAAATAAATCCAAGCCACCAAGCAGAAACTTGGTTTCACCCTCTGCAAGGCAGACCTATTTGTTTTCTTGGCAGTCTACTGTATATTCAAGATTCTTCTCCAGCACCACAACTCAAAGGCATTGATTCCTCTTCTGTCATTCTCAGTGACTATCCAGGTCTCTGATGCACAGCAAGTAATTGCAAAGGCCTTTTATATTATACCTAAGATTATTAAGAGTGAGTAATCACTAAATCTCACAGAACAATATGACTAGTGTAGTTCTTCTGTTTACATGAAAAATAAAATTTTGGTAAAGACTTGCTGTCATTTTCTCTTCTTCATTTTCAACTGATATGACAACAAAGGTATTATCTCAAGAAAAAAAAAATTTGAGCTTTCCAGTTGTGCTCCTGCTCCCCTGTACTTCCCTCCTTCCTGCCCACCTCCTCCACAAAAAAGGCAAACGCAGCAAAGAAGATAGCAACTCAAAAACATCATTATATACAACTGGATGTAAATAAATTGATGGTTGGATTTTAAAACAGTTAAATGAAAAAAAATTTTATATTAGCTTAGTGCAAGATGTACCAATATTTTCCTTTATTTTGAATTAGATGAATTGTTGACATTATTTTATATATGCATGGCTTCACTGAAAATTCTGTTAACAATCCATTTTAAAGTTTACATTATTTAGGCACTGTAAGTCAAAGCAGACTAAAAACTGTTCATGCTAAGTTACGGTAAATTTTAGAAACCACAGTTCTTATTAAGCCAAAATATAAAATGTGTAAGCAGCCATCAATCTTTGTAAATAAGAAACAATCTAAAAGGTCTAAAACTCACAGAACTTAGTTTAAAATGCCATTTCATTTTCTTTTAAAATGCCTCAGAGCCATAATAGAATGATTCATATGATTAATTATACTAAATAAAATTTTTTCCTGTCTTCATTACTTAAAATCAATGATTAATTACTTAAAATTAATTTCTCTATTCTATCTTCACTACTTAATAATTCAGCAGGAAAGAATTAAAATTTAATCTGGAGGAGGGGAAAAGACAGTCATCAGGAAGCATATGCTAGTTAAGTGTAGATAACATATAGAAAACGGAACCATTCACAAAAAACATAACTATATTAACACAACAAATATGACCATTATATTCTCAAATTCTTGCGGGCTTTCTGGAATTTTGTTTCTCTTGGGATCAGATCAGTCTACAAAGCTCAGTTGAGATAGCCAAGCCTCTTTTCTTTGTGATCTTCCATTCTTTTTTTTTTTTAAATCTTTTAAAATTTTTATTATTTTGTGTGTGTGTGTGCACCATCAAATCGGATCTGACTGGTACAGGAGGAGATTGTCCCTCCTTCTCCAGCAGAGCATATCGTGGATTCGAACCTGTCACTTCTGGGATTGCAGTGCAGCTTCTTACTACTAGGCGACCAGAGCTCACCAATGATCTTCCATTCTTAAACAGGCTAGACCAGGCAACTTCACACAAATGCACAAGTATTAAGTATAATGCTGAGTGAGATTAATCTGATATATTCTTTGTCAATGCAAATCATATAAATTATATAAAATTAATAAATATCCTTAAAATAATCAATGTATCAAAGGAGATATCACAATGAAAGCTGAAAATATTTTTAATCATATGTCAGATATTGTGGTATGTGGCACTAAGTAATATTAAAAGGATAAATATAATCCTTAATCACATAAATTTTAAAAGGTTGGTATTTGATAGAAATAAAATTCTCAAGCCAGCAACAACAGAAAAGAGAAATAAAAACACCTTGGCAGTAAATATAAAAATACAGAAGATTTGGTGTCACATTCAAAGGAGCTTAGCTGCTAACTGAAACATTAGTGGTTCAAACTCACTAGACAATCTATGGGTGACAGATTTAACAGTCTGCTTCTATAAATATCTATACCCTTGGATACCTATGCAAAGGTTCAACTTTGTCCTGTAAGGATCCTATGAGTCAGAATCAACTTGATGGCCATGGGTTTGGCTTCTGGGTTTTTAAAAATCAACTAATACGAAGATGGCATCAAACCTGAAGAAGGAAGTCCTACCCCTCCCCAAACTGAAGCCAAAGCAAAGGCATTAAAGACCAAGAAGACAGTCCTGAAGGGCATTGACAGCCATAAAAAAATAAGATCCACATATTACCCACTTTCTGATGGCCCAAGATGCTGAGACTCTGAAGGCAGCCCAAATACCCACCAGAAGAGCACCCCCCAGGAGAAACACACTTGACCACTATGCCATCATCAAGTTTCTCCTGAGCACTGCGTCAGCCATGTAGAAGATAGAAGATAACAACACACTTGTGTTCACTGTGAATGTCAAGCCAACAAGCACCAAATCAAATAAGCTGTAAAGAAGCTCTATGACATTGAAGTGACCAAGGTCAACACCTTGATTAAGCCTGATGGAGAGAAAAAGGCCTATGTTCAACTTGTTCCTGACTAACATGCTTTGGATGTTGCCAACAAAATTGGGGTCATCTAAACAGAGTCCAGCTGGTTAATTCTAAATATAAAGTTTTCTCACAAAAAAAAAAAAAAAAATCAACTTAGAGTTGAATGTTGAGGTATAAATGATACTGCATATAATATTCTTTGAACATCATTGTTATGTTCTTTCAAGTCAAAGCTAGCACATAGATGATCCTTCAGTGCGGAGACTAACTTTCTTCTATAGAGCAGCTGGTGGATGTGAACGGCGTGCCTTTGGGGTGGCAGCACACCTCCTTACCTCTAGACAGAATTGGGCTTTACTTTAAAAGGGAAGAAACTTTAACTACTCCTTGGGCATTTTATAATGAGAAGGCATTTTTCATTATCTGGCTGACAATTATTCCATAATCAATAGCAAACAATTATAGAAAATTAAACATAAGAAAAAGATTAAGGGTAAACTCTTCAAAGTCTTGGTAACTAAACTAAGGTCCTATTCCAATAAACGGGTATTTTTAGCAAAAAACCTCAACTGCTCACTAGTAGTCCTATAAGGATCTTCACAGTAACAGTAGTTACTATGAAGGGAATAGTACCCCAAATGTAAGAGGAAGATTCAACTCAAATTCTGCTTGTCTCTTCCCCTGAGAAGCAATGTCAGTCTTCTAGAGTGTTAGGACAACTGGTTTAAAGAGATAAACCAATAGAGCAAGAGGAATACACCTACTTTCTGGTCTCATGAGTAAAATGACTTCCAGTCCACTGCAGGAAATAATTCTCTCTGCCCATCCCTTTTGTTGCATCTGCATCACTGGCTACATTGAAGGGTTTCTTGTCATATACTTCCTAACCCCTCTTTTTCCAATCTTCTTTAGTGCAGAAGAAACCATCATTCTTCTTTGGTTTTCATATGCTAAGTACGTTGGTCAAAACCCTGCATGTTTTTAGGTTCTACTGTGCAAATTTCTCTTTCCTCACAATCTCAAAAGCTTATTGCTGTTGAATCAGAACTGACTTATATATGAACCTCCAGTGGGTTTTCAGAGGCTGTAAATCGAGAGATTTATGGAGATGTACAGATTTTTTTCCTGGAGAGGGAGAAGCCGGAATGTTCCTTGGAGTCAAGGCTCCGTCTGACATACTTTGGGCATGTTGTAAGGAGGGACTGGTCCTTGGAGAGGGACATCATGTCTGGGAGAGTGGAGGGGCGGCGCAGGAGAGGAAGACGTTTGGTGAGATGGATCAATTCTGTCAGTAGAGTGGTGGGAATGAGGGTGTTTGAGATGGTGAGGTTGGCACAGGATAGAACGGCATTTAGGGCTATTATACATAGGGTTGCTATGAGTGGCAAGCGACTTGATGGCACATAACAACAACAATAGGAGAAAACTCTTCATCTTTCTCCCTCCAAGCCACTGGTAGATTCAAACAGCCAGAAA